ACAAATGAACAAGTAAGCAAAAGAGGCCCATAAAATTCCAATGATTATGAACTTTTGAGAGGTCTTAAAAGGAACATATCATGTAGTGCCAATGAAAGTGAATATGTTTGATTGTATGTAAGTCCATAACTTATTTTACACAATCCCGAGTAAGTGAAATTAATCCTACTAAAACTGTAAATAATGCATTTATTTCATGTGTTTATTATATAGTTAATATGAATCAATGTATATTTTCCTTTAATAATATGTTTAGGGCACATGGGAAGTGGAAGAGGACAAATAATATATTATTAAATGATTTAACAAAACAAATAAGTTGGTGATTTTAGTTCTCCTGACAATAGAAGTGAGATTATTCTCAGAGGAATCTGTAAAGATGACATATCTCAAATTCCCAAGTGCTTCTGGAATTGTTTTCTTTTTTTTTTCCTTCCTCCAACTTCACGAACTAGACTAAGAAACATTGTGTTCTTAAGGGCTTATTTGAAATGTTGTATATGAAAGGTTAAGGCTGACTGCGGATATAGGTGAGTTGATATTTATATGTTTTGTGGAACAAAGTAAAGAACAAGATGTAGAAAAGAGAGATTTGAATTCATATCTTTAGATCTGCTCTTCAGTAAATATTTATGCGGGAGGACAAGGCTGAATCCCTCCATGCTTGATTTTTTCCTATTAGTTAAAAAAAAAAAAGCTGTAACTTATAATAATGGCTAACTTTGAGATTAGAGTTTACAACCTAACAAATTAATGATATTGTTTAAAAAGACAAGTCTGTAACCATCTGGGAGCCTTCATCCAGTGACTGATGGAAGCAGAGGCAAACACACAATTAAGCACTGAACTGAACCCAAGGAACCCAGTGGCAGAGAGAGAGGAGTGATGAGCAAATTGGCAAAGAATGGGCTGGCAAAACCAGCAGAGACAGCTGATCTGAACAGGGGAGAGCTCTTGGACCCCAGACTGACAGCGGGGAGGCTAACATGGGACTGATCTGGACCCCCCAAATGTGAGTGTCAGTGAGAAAGCCTGGGCAACCTATGGGGCCTTGAGCAGTGGATCAGTGTCTATCCCTGGAATACAAACAGTCTTCGTGTGCCCATAGCACAAAGAGGGATGCTCTCTCAGCCTGGACTCTTAGGGGAGTACCTGGATCCTACCCTGAGTGAAATGACAGACTCTAGATATCCCCTATGTGGAAGGAATTGGCAATAGGGTGGGAGGCTGGGGGGGGTGGTGAGTGCTGGAGGAGGGGAGGGAGAGGGAACTGGGATTGACATGTAAAACAAGCTATTTAAAAAGACAAGTGAGCTAAATGTTTTTAGCTTTGTTCCATAATGTATTTCTGTGACTCCAAAAAGAACACAAGAGAAAAGAAAGGAATAATAGAACATTCAGAAAGGCAATGAAAATATCTTTTCAATAACCCCACATCTGACACAGGGCTAATCTCCAAAATTTACAAAGAACTCAAGAAGCAAGTCTCCAAAACACCAAAGGATCCAATTAAAAGGTGGGATACAGAACTAAATAGAGAATTCTCAATAGAGGAGTCTAAAATGGCTGACAGACACCTAAGAAAGTGCTCAACATCCTTAGCCATCAGGGAAATGCAAATCAAAACAACTTTGAGATACCTAATCTTACTCCTGTCAGAATGGCTAAAATGTGCTTCTTAATTGAGAATAACATTGTTAAAGAAATTTTAAATAGGTGTGATACATAACCATGCTTCCTTCTTGTATTCATTTTCCACATTTTCTCTATGTGAAATCTGCATAATTACAATTTCTCACCCAAATATATAACTTTAATAATACAGCAGTGAGCCCATGTCTACCAACAAAATGATTTTGCATTTTTAATTCCTGAAGGCACAAAGGGATGATTTTTTAAAAGGTGTGTTTGGTGACATAGCCTTGTACTATTGGCTGTGTAGTGTCAATCCATCCTGACATACATGGAATTTGGTTTTTAGTAGTAGAGCTTTCCGTGGAAAAGTGTTTCTGTGATTCTCTATATGTGTTGCTTTGTGAGAGGTGAATGAACACATGATAATTGGTCAAAGATGAATCTCTGAGAATTGTGTTTGAGTAGAGCAAAATCCAATAATCCCTTTCTTTACAAGAGCCATGATAAAATGATTTGATAACACTCAGGTACTTACTTGTGTCTTGTGTTCCCAAATTCTAACTATTTTGTCACAAGAAGTAGGTCAATTGTATTTCATCACAGTGGAAATATCAAATAAATCCTTCAGGACTTGGCAGGTGCAATACAACTTCCTAGCCATATTCTGCATATTATCTAGAGCATAAAAATATTTGGAAGAATCAGACAGGTAACTAACAAATAGATATAATTTGATTGTGTTTAGAGGAGAGAGGCTACTAACTAATAACGTAGGGAAAAAAACATGATTTCAAGGAGAAGAGTAGCAGAATAACAACTCCTATAAGTGGATATTGTTTTGTTAGAAATTTATATTTGTCATTTGTATTTAAAATGTAATTATGTGTAACAAATAATGTCACCACTTTTGTAAGTATTGGCATATTATCCATAAACTTTTCCATATACATTTGTGGTAGTTAGGGGAGTTTTTCTCCCTTTTATCTTTTCCTTTGCTAAAGTCAGATACCTTCAGTTTACATAATATATTTAACAAACAAAGGTCAAATACATTTATGTACATTTCAAGTAAAGCTAGGTTTATAGACTTCCAAGTGACATTAAATGACTTCCTTAAATTCTCTAAGATTCATTTATTTTATTTGTTAATTGGGATGATAAAATACAACTTACTATTGATGTAAAAATAATTAATTCTGTCTCTGGACAAACCCTCAAACAAATAATGAGTGTTCTAGTGCAGGTTTCTATGGATGGCATTGTGCCAAGATTCTTTTGGAGGAATAATATGAATAAAAAATATTTGGTAACTTTACTACATTCTTTGTTTCTTAAATCCCACCAAAATAGTTATTTATATTTGGACTACGCATTTAATGGTATCACAAACTAAACATCCCAGTGAGTCTCTTCCTTCTTTCATTCTTCCATATCTTATTCTTCATAGAGCAGTTGGAGTCATCTGCATAAAAGCTAAGTCAGATTTTGTCTCCATTCTGTATCAAATCTTCTGGACATTTGACTTGTCATCTAGAATAAAATTGCACTCTTGAATATGGACTATAAACCCTGAAAGATTTACAACTAACTCACTTTGTTCATTGAACCTAATCCTATGATGCTTTAGGTTACTGATACAACCTCTACTCCTCCTACAGGGTTTTCTGCTGCTGGTATTTCTATCTGGTACTCTATAAATATATTCTTAGCACTTTTCTTTTCCTTACTACCTTCTAATCTAGATATGCATTCTCACTCAGAGAAGACTTCTTTTGTTTCCTTATGAGGAGTAAAGTTTTTCCTAAGATTCCACAATATTATTATTTTGCTGTTATTCTCAAATCATGTGCTGTACTCTAAAAATCTATGTACTTCTATTTTTTACTCATTATATTCACTTCATGTGGGAATATTAAAATAGACTTTGTCATTTTTAGTTGATATGTATATACAAACTTCACATCATAAACTGACATATATAATGAACAAAATATACAGTACATAATATAGTAGATAACATATAATAGACAATAAATATTGAATGATGTTTAAAATTTATTCTAAACAAGATTGGTTAATAAGCACAGCTTAAAATCATGCTCCATTTAAATAAGTTATTTACAATACACACATGCACATGCATTTACAACACACACACACACAATGCCCCATGACTACACTGATTTATTTTTATTTTTTTATTTTTAAATTTAAATTTAGTTTAGAAACAAGGTTGCTTTACAAGTCAGTTCCAGCTACCTCTCCATTTCCCTCCCCTCTTCCCATATCCTCCCCCAACCCCCCCCAGTATCCCCTCATTTCCCAGGGAGGGTGAGGCCCTCCTTGGGGGTGTCCATAGTCTGTCATTTCATCCAAAGCAGGGCCTAGAACCTCTCCCAAGAGTTCAAGATGAGAGTGCATCTCACATTGTTGGATGGGAGTCCAAAGTCCATGTGTATACTCGGGATAAATACTGATCTACTGCCCAAGGCTCAATAGATTACCTAGGCCTCCTCACTGACTCCCCCATTCAGGGGGTGTCCATCCTGAGTGAGGTAATGCAGTCACAAAAAGAGAAACATGGCATGTATTCTCTCATATATGGATTGTATACATAGATCTGGGGAGTGCCAGCCTACAATCCCATGGCCAGAGAGTCTGGGAAACAGAACCTTCATTCAGTGGCTGATGGAAGAAGAGGCAGACTCCCATGGCTAAGCACTGAGCTGAACTCAAGAAAGCCAGTAACAAAGAGGGAGGACTGATGACCAAAGGGATTAAGACTGGGCTGGTTTAACCCGCAGAAACAGCTGACCTGACAAGGGTTAACTCTTGAATTCCAGGCTGATGCCTGGGAATCCAGCATGGGATTAAACTGATTTTTAAAAATTAATTTAAAATAGATTGGTAATTGTGCTTATACTATTTAATTCTTAGTGGTATTGAAATTGAGAGTTTCATCTGAAGTTTTTAATAGCATGTTTTGTTTCTGCTTGAGTTTATATAAAAATAAACTCCTAATACAGTGACAGAAAGACCTATGGTGAAGATAGAACAAAAAAACATGTGACTTGCTTGGTTGGTTCTTTTATTGAAATATTGTCTATTGATCACATGTAAGAAGATTGCAGCATCCTTGTAAGATGTTGTAACTTATTCTAATAATTCTAACATGTTTTTATAAAATAGATGAATTGGCATGTTTCTTTTTTTCTGCATACCGCAAAACACAATAGCCTTTTTTATTAAAGTGATTTTCTGTTATGAAAAAAAAGGAAATAAGGTTCTCCTCAAGTTTTCCATAATTTTTTTCCAGTTTAACCCAGCACTTCTGCGTGTTCTAGCAACACACAAATGAAGAAAACAGAATGAATGTGACCGAATTCATCCTCATGGGACTGACAGAGAACCCTGAGCTGCAGACAATTCTACTTTTGATATTACTAATCACCTACATTGTCACTGTCACAGGAAACCTACTCATTGTTGGGACCATAGTCTTGAGCCAGACTTTGAACTCACCAATGTACTTCTTCCTTGCTTTTTTGTCTCTGATAGATGCGTGCTATTCCTCTTCTATCATCCCTAAAATGCTTGCAGATTTGCTATCAGAGACAAAAGCCATCTCATTCAATGGCTGTATGCTGCAACTTTTTGTTGAACATTTTTTAGGAGCTTCAGAGATTGTCCTCCTTGTGGTCATGGCCTATGACCGCTATGTAGCCATCTGTAGACCACTGCACTATGTGACCAGGATGAACCACCGCACTTGCTGTCTTCTAGTTGGGGTATGCTGGATAATGGGCTTTCTCCACTCTTTTGGGCAAATAGTTGTTATTCTCTGGATTCCTTTCTGTGGTCCTAATATCATGGACCATTTCTGTTGTGATATCTTCCCCCTGCTACAACTGGCCTGTGCTGACACTTTCCTTCTTGGTCTCCTGATTGCTGCCAATGGTGGAGTAATCCCTGTGATCACATTCACAATGTTGCTGATGTCCTATGTGGTCATTCTCTGTTCCTTAAGGACACACAGCTCTGCAGGGAGGAAAAAGGCCCTGTCTACCTGTGGCTCCCACATCACCGTTGTTTTCTTGTTCTTTGTGCCATGTATTTATACCTACATGCGACCAGTTAAAACTTTTCATCTGGATAAAGCCATAGCAGTGTTTTATACTCTTGTTACTCCCATGTTAAATCCGATTATCTATACTGTAAGGAATGCAGAGGTTAAAAATGCAATCAGAATGTTACTAAGGAAGAATTCAATCTTGGATAATAAATGATTTAATATAAATATTTTCTTTTTGTATTTCCTGAAATATTGCTTTTGTTCATAAAAATAAATTTCTAGATCCTCAGTGTAACCTAGAAACATTAATATTATCACACTCTAAATATATGTATCTCTGTACATAAAATCTATTTTAAATTGATTTTTAAAATTAAGCACAATGAAAAGATTAATACAATATTTATAAAATACAAATTATATTAATATATTAAGCAATATTTGTACTTTGTGAACATTATTTAGCATAATCAGGGATACACAAATAGAAGCATATTGTGATTCCATCACAATCCATGCTGATATCACATTAACTAATTAAATATTGAAAATGAGAGTACCCAATGGGGATATGATGAACTAGTATAAAATTATTTTCCAGCCACTGAGGCTTCCATCCCGGTGGAGGCAGCAGGAGCCACGTTACTATAGTTTCCTGCTCCACCCAAGGAACTAGGACTAGAACACATGCTCGTGTTTGGGGACTGCCACAGTAGCTTCCATCCCAGAGGGAGGAACAAGTCACCCCAGGTTACTAGTCTTCTGCTCCACCCACGTGAAAAAGACTACCAGGGCCTGTCTCCAGGCCACACTCCTATGTCTAGGGTATACCCCTGAGGCATCCATCAATCCCAGTGGGATCCAAAGCACCCCAGAATCCTAGTCCATTTCTCCACCCACAAGACGAGGAAGTGGAGAGCTACCAGAACAGTGGACTTGCCTGTACCCACCAGAAAGGGAACTTGGTCCTGTATCCATCAGGAGAGGAAGAGATACCCTCTAGAACCCACTGCAAGAACTGATGGGAAGGAGACAATATAAAAACCCAAGCAGCAACAGAAAAACCGATATGACACCACCAGAAACCAGAGACCCTACACCAACAAGACTGGAACACCCCAACACAAATGAACCAGAAGAGAATGACCTAAAAACAACTTCATGGAAATGGTAGATGCCCTCAAAAAGGATATGAGAAAATCCCTTAAAGAGATGGAAGAAAAAACAATCCAAAAAATGCAAGAAATGGAGCAAAACACAAAGCAAAAATTGCAAGAAACAATTCAAACAGTTCAAGGGATGAAATCTGAATAGAAACAATAAAGAAAACATAATCTGAAGGAATGCTAGAAGTATAAAAGCTGGGAAAATGGTAAGGTACTACAGATGCAAACATAACCAACAGAATACAAGAGATGAAAGAGACAACCTCAGGTGTTGAAGATGCACTAGGACAATTAGATTCATTGACCAAAGAAAATTTTGAGTCAAAAAAATCTCTACCACAAAATATCCAGCAAATGTGGGACACTGTGAAAAGACCAAACTTACGAATAATAGGTATAGAAGGTAAAGAAACCCCACTTCACAGGTTTGAAAAACATATTTAACAAAATATTAGAAGAAAACGTTCCCAACCTAAAGAAAGACATGCCAATGAAGGTGCAGGAATCTTACAGAACACCAAATAGATTGGACCCCCCCAACCCCCTCAACACATAATAATCAAGACCCCAAATATACAGAATAAAGAAAGAATATTAAGAGCAGCTAGGGAAAAGGCCGAGTTACATATAAAGGCAAACCTATCAGAATTACACCTGACTTCTCCATGGAAACTCTGAAAGCCAGAAGTCATGGATAGATATTCTAGCAACTTTCAGAGACCATGGATGACAACCAAGACTGCTATACCCAGCAAAGTTTTCAATCAATATTGATGGAGAAAACAAGATATTTCATGAGAAAACAGATTTAAACAGTCCATATCCACTAGCCCAGCCCAACAGAAAATTCTGGAAGGAAAACTCCAACACAAGGTAGTTAACTATAACCAGAAAGACATAGGCAATAGATAATCCTACATTACCAAGAGGCAATAGAAAAAGTGGTGGAAATCCACATAGAGTTCCACAAGCAACCATTCTAAAACAAACAAGAATGACTTATCAATGGTCATTAATTTCCCTCAATATTAATGGTGTTAACTTGCACATAAAAAGACGCAGGTTAACAGAATGGATTCAACGACACAATCCATCCTTCTGCTGCATACAGGAAATACAACTCAGCTTCAAAGACAGACATTATTTCAGAGTTAAGGGTTGGAAAAAGATTTTCCAATCAAAAGGACCCAAGAAACAAGTGGGGGTAACAATCCTAATATTTAACAAATTAGACTTTAAACTAAATTCAATCAAAAGAGATGAAGAATGTCACTTCATACTCATCACAGGAGAAATCAACCAAGATGAAGTCTCAGTTTTGAATATCTATGCCCCAAATACAAAGCCATCCATATTCATAAAAGAAACATTACTAAAATTCAAAACACATATTAAACCTCACACACTTGTAGAGGGAGGCTTCAATACCCCACTCTCACCACTAGACAGGACCACAAGACAGAATCTTAACAAGGATACAAAGGACATAATAGATGTTATGACCCAACTGGGTTTAACAGACATCTATAGAACATTCCATCCAAACACAAAATAATATACCTTCTTCTCAGCACCACATGGAACCTTATCAAAAATTGTCCACACACTTTACAACATAGCAAACCTCAACAGGTACAAAAAACTGGAATAACTCCATGTATCTGATCAGACCATCAGAAACCCTGAAAAATCATGGAAATTGAAAAATGCACAATTGCACCACTCCTGGGTTAAAGAAGAAATAAAAAAAGGAATTAAAGACTTCCTATAATTCAATGTGAATGAATACCCAACATACCCAAACTTATGGGACACTTTGAACACAGAGCTAAGTGGAAAGTTCACAACACTAAGCGCCCACATAAAGAAACTGGAGAATAGTAACACTAGAGAATTAACAGCACAACTGAAGACTCTAGGACAAAAGGAAGCAAACTCACCAGAGAGGAGCAGATGCCAAGAAATATTTAAATTGAATGCTGAAATCAATAAAGTAGAAACTAGGAAAATGACACAAAGAATCAATGTAACAAAGAGTTGATTCTTTGAGAAAATCAACACGATAGACAAACCTTTATCCAAAACTACCAAATGGCAGAGTATTAACATACAAATTAACAAAATCAGAAATGAAAAGAAGGACATAACAACAGACAGTGAGGAAATTCAGAGAATCATCAGGTCATATTTTGAAAAGCTATACTCCACAAAATTTGAAAATTTAAAGGAAATGGACAATTTTCTGGATAAATGTCATTTACAAAAATTAAATCAAGAACAGATAAGCAATTTAAATAGATGTATAACACCTAAAGAAATAGAAACAGTCATCAAAGTCTCCCAACCAAAAAAATCGAAGTGTCAGATGGCTTCCGTGCAGAATTTTAACAGAAATCCAAAGAACAGGTTATACCAATTCTCCTCAAACTATTCCATGCAATAGAAGCATAAGGGCCTTTCCCAAACTCTATTTATGATGCTTCAATAACATTGATACCCAAGCCACAAAAAAGACACAACTAAGAAAGGGAACTTCAGATTAATATCCCTCACGAGCATTGATGCAAAAATACTCAATAAAATACTGGTAAATCTGATCCAAGAACACATCAGAGAAGTCATCTAACATGATCAAGTAGGCTTCATTCCAGGGATGCAGGGGTGTTTCAACATATGAAAATCCAACAATGTAATCCACCATATAAACAAACTGAGAAACAAAAATCACATGATCATCTTACTAGATGCTGAAAAAGCCCTTGATAAAATCCAACACCCCTTTATGATAAATGTCTTTGAAAGATCTGGGAAAACAGGAACATACCTAAACATCATAAAAGCTATATACAGCAAACCAACAGCCAACATCAAACTGAATAGAGAGAAACTTGAGGCTAGTCTTCTAAGATCAGGAACAAATAAAGGTTGCCCCTTGTCCCCATACCTCTTCAATACTGTACTGGAAGTTCTAGCTAGAGCAATAAGACAACAAAAGTATTTCAAGGGGATACAAATTGGAAAGGAAGAGGTCAAACTTTCACTATTTGCAGATGATATGATAGTTTACATAAGTGACACAAAAACTCTACCATGGAACTCTTACAGCTAATAAACACATTCAGCAATGTTACAAGACACAAGAACAACTCAAGAAAATCAGTAGCCCTAATCTATACAGATGATAAAAGGGCCGAGAGTGAAATCAGAGAAACTTCACCCTTTATAATTTCCACAAACAACATAAAATACCTTGGGATGATGCTAACCAAACAAGTGAAAGACCTGTATCAAAAGAATTTTGAGTCTTTAAAGAAAGAAATTAAAGAAAACATTAGGAAATGGAAAGATCTCCCATGCTCTTGGATAGGTAGAATCAACGTATTAAAAATGGTAATCCTGCCAAAAGCAATATAAAGACAATGCAATCCCGAGCAAAATTCTTCACAGACCTTGAAAGGACAATCCTCAACTTTACATGGAAACACAAAAAACCCAGGATTACCAAGACAAATCTATTCAAAAAGCAACATCTGTAGACATCACCATCCCTGACTTCAAGCACTGTTACAGAGCTATAGTCTTGAAAACAGCTTGGAATTAACACAAAAATAGATAGGTAGACAAACAAAATCGAATTGAAAACCCTGAGGTTAATACACAAACCTATGAACACCTGGTTTTCAACAAAGAAGCTAAAATTATACAATGGAAAAAAGATAGCATCTTCAAAAAATGGTGCTGGAATAACTGGATATTGGCACGTAGAAGACTGCAGATAGATCCATGTCTATCACCATACAGAAAACTTAAGTCAAAGTGGATCAAAGAACGCAACATAAATCCAGCCATATTGAGCCTGTAAGAAGAGAAAGTGGGAGGTACCCTTGAAGGAATTGGTTACGGAGACTGCTTCCTGAACATAATACCAGTAGCTCAAACACTGAAATTGACAATTAATAAATGGGACCTCCTGAAACTGAGAAGATTCTGTAAGGCAAAGGATACAGTCAGCAAGAAAAAAAGACAGCCCACATTGGAAAAGATATTC